CACCATACACACACCACACACACACCACACACACACAAATCATATACACCATACACACACCACACACACCATATAAACCATCCACCACATACACACACCACACACACACCAAACACACACCACACACACCCCAGACACACACCATGCCCACACCATACACACACCACACACACACCACACACACACACCACATACAACACACACCACACACCACACACACCTCTACACACACCACACACCTCACACACACCACACACCTACACACACCACACACGTACACACACCACACACGTACACACACCACACACGTACACACACCACACACACCACACACACCATACACACCACACACACCACGCACCATACACACACCACATACACCACGCACACACTACACACACCACACACACCACACCACACACACCACACAGACCACACACACACCACACCACACACACACACCACACACACACACACCACACACACACCACACACACACCATACACACCACACACACCACACCACACACACCACACCACACACACCATACACACACCACACACACACACCACACACACACCACACACACACCATACACCACACACACACCACACACACCACACCACACACCATACACACACACCACACCACACACCACACACACCACACAGACACCGAGATGATGGCGATCTGTTGAGAGATGTATTATTCACGTCGTTCATTTGATCAACAAATTTAAGGCCTCAAGCAGAAAAAAAAAACTCTCGTCAGTGGCGTCACGGGAGGGGGGGTGTCACGTGGAGGGTCACGGGGGGTGTCACGGGGGGTGTCACGTGGAGGGTCACAGTGGGGGTCACGTGGAGAGTCACGGGGGGTGTCACGTGGAGGGTCACAGTGGGTGTCACGTGGAGAGTCACGGGGGGTGTCACGTGGAGAGTCACGGGGGGTGTCACGTGGAGGGTCACGGGGGGTGTCACGTGGAGGGTCACGGGGGGTGTCACGTGGGGGTCACGGGGGGTGTCACGTGGAAGGTCACAGTGGGGGTCACGTGGAGAGTCACGGGGGGTCGGGGTGTCACGTGGAGGGTCACAGTGGGTGTCACGTGGAGGGTCACGGGGAGTGTCACGTGGGGGGTCACGGGGGGTGTCACGTGGAGGGTCACAGTGGGGGTCACGTGGAGAGTCACGGGGGGTGTCACGTGGAGGGTCACAGTGGGTGTCACGTGGAGAGTCACGGGGGGTGTCACGTGGAGGGTCACGGGGGGTGTCACGTGGGGGTCACGGGGGGTGTCACGTGGAAGGTCACAGTGGGGGTCACGTGGAGAGTCACGGGGGGTCGGGGTGTCACGTGGAGGGTCACAGTGGGTGTCACGTGGAGGGTCACGGGGGGTGTCACGTGGGGGGTCACGGGGGGTCGGGGTGTCACGTGGAGGGTCACGGGAGGGGGGGGTGTCACGTGGAGGGTCACAGTGGGTGTCACGTGGAGGGTCACGGGGGGTGTCACGTGGGGGGTCACGTGGAGGGTCACAGTGGGTGTCACGTGGAGGGTCACGGGGGGTCGGGGTGTCACGTGGAGGGTCACGGGAGGGGGGGTGTCACGTGGAGGGTCACAGTGGGTGTCACGTGGAGGGTCACAGTGGGTGTCACGTGGAGGGTCACAGTGGGTGTCACGTGGAGGGTCACGTGGAGGGTCACGGGGGGTGTCACGTGGAGGGTCACAGTGAGGGTCACGTGGAGGGTCACAGTGGGTGTCACGTGGGGGGTCACAGTGGGTGTCACGTGGAGGGTCACGTGGAGGGTTACGGGGGGTGTCGTGGAGGGTCACAGTGGGTGTCACGTGGAGGGTCACGTGGGGGGGTCACGTGGGGGGGGTCACGTGGGGGGTCACAGTGGGTGTCACGTGGAGGGTCACAGTGGGTGTCACGTGGAGGGTCACGTGGGGGGGTCACGTGGGGGGGTCACGTGGGGGGTCACAGTGGGTGTCACGTGGAGGGTCACAGTGGGTGTCACGTGGAGGGTCACGTGGGGGGGTCACGTGGGGGGGGTCACGTGCACCGCCCCACGCGAGTTTCTTCGTCGCACCGCACAAATTCAAGGACAGTGCCAATATTATTATTATCAGAGTTGTCTATTTTTTGTTTGCATTTTGACTGCTTGTGTTGTGGTTATTGCAAACATGATGCCTTGAATAAAGTTGCCAGTTTTTGTGCCAGTTAAAAGGGTAAAACCTATTACTATAACTTGTTACTGGCAAAGGAGGTCTCATAATCTAAATGCTCACCCCGAGCCCTCAATAACTCTGATAGTGCGCTGTTTTTGAGTTGTACGCCTTTTGGCGTCTTCTGGTCCAACACCAATGGAGACTAAAGGGCTCTAAGAAAAGCCGTCTCGGGTGTGGACCAATCAAATTCAAGGACAGTGCCAATATTATTATTATCAGAGTTGTCTATTTTTGTTTGCATTTTGACTGCTTGTGTTGTGGTCATTGCAAACATGATGCCTTGAATAAAGGTGTCAGTTTTTGTGCCAGTTAAAAGGGTAAAAACCTATTACTATATCTTGTTACTGGCAAAGGAGGTCTCATAATGAAACTAAAAATTGTTTTATTTTTTCAGAAATCACAACGTCTTATCTTACGTTGTTTCTCCCTCCGTGAATTCACCGAAAGAGCCAAAGCGAGTGGTAGTCGTGCAGGCACTGAAGCGTCACATCAAGATTGTGCCTCCACTCGTTAACCACCACCACCACCACCCCCCACCCCACCACCACCACCACCACCCCCACCACCTACACCTCATCGTCATCATCGTCGTCATCATCGTCATCGTCATCATCGTCATCATCATCGTCATCATCATTGTCATCATCATCTTCGTCATCATCAAAGCGAAGCTGCAGCTACACACAGATCAAGCTCTCTGTTGGGGGCCTACACCTCATCGTCATCATCATCGTCATCGTCATCGTCGTCATCGTCGTCATCGTCGTCATCGTCATCATCGTCATCGTCGTCATTGTCATCATCGTCATCATTGTCATCATTGTCATCATCATCATCGTCATCATTGTCATCATTGTCATCATCGTCATCATCGTCATCATCATCATCGTCATCATCGTCATCATCATCATCGTCATCGTCATCATTGTCATCGTCATCATTGTCATCGTCGTCATCGTCGTCATTGTCATCATCATCGTCGTCATTGTCATCATCATTGTCGTCGTCATCGTCATCATCATCATCGTCGTCATCATCATCGTCGTCATCATCGTCGTCATCATCATCGTCATCGTCGAGTAGGTTTTGGTGTGGGCCCTCCACCGTGATGGTCTGCAGTGGTAGGCCTGCAGACCCCAGCCCACCGTGCACGGCTTCCCGTCAAATGAACAAGGCACTACAACTACAGCCCACTTGCAAACACAATCATAACAACAGCCCCCATACAAGTGTGGGGGGAGGGGGGGAGGGGAGATCATCCTCGCTGCTACTACAGTCACAACCCAATACCCACAGTCAGTCACAGCAAAAACCCACAGTCAGTCACACACAAAACCCAGTCACAGTCACACCCAAAACCCACTCAGTCAGTCACACACAAAACCCACAGTCAGTCACACACAAAACCCACAGTCACACCCAAAACCCAGTCACAGTCACACCCAAAACCCACAGTCACACCCAAAACCCACAGTCACCCCCAAAACCCAGTCACAGTCACACCCAAATACCCACAGTCACACCCAAAACCCACAGTCAGTCACACCCAAAACCCATAGTCACACCCAAAACCCAGTCACAGTCACACCCAAAACCCACAGTCAGTCACCCCCAAAACTCACAGTCAGTCACACTCAAAACCCATAGTCACACCCAAAACCCAGTCACAGTCACACCCAAAACCCACAGTCAGTCACCCCCAAAACCCACAGTCAGTCACACTCAAAACCCATAGTCACAGTCACACCCAAAACCCAGTCAGTCACCCCCAATACTCAGTCAGTCACACCCAAAACCCAGTCACAGTCACACCCAAAACCCAGTCACAGTCACACCCAATACTCAGTCACACCCAAAACCCACAGTCAGTCACCCCCAAAACCCACAGTCACACACAAAACCCACAGTCACACACAAAACCCAGTCACAGTCACCCCCAAAATCCACAGTCAGTCACCCCCAAAACCCAGTCACAGTCACACCCAAAACCCACAGTCAGTCACACACAAAACCCACAGTCACACACAAAACCCACAGTCACACACAAAACCCACAGTCAGTCACACACAAAACCCACAGTCAGTCACCCCCAAAACCCAGTCACAGTCACACCCAAAACCCACAGTCAGTCACCCCCAAAACCCACAGTCACACACAAAACCCACAGTCACACACAAAACCCACAGTCACACACAAAACCCAGTCACAGTCACCCCCAAAACCCACAGTCACCCCCAAAACCCAGTCACAGTCACACCCAAATACCCACAGTCACACCCAAAACCCACAGTCAGTCACACACAAAACCCAGTCACACCCAAAACCCATAGTCACACCCAAAACCCAGTCACAGTCACACCCAAAACCCACAGTCAGTCACCCCCAAAACTCACAGTCAGTCACACTCAAAACCCATAGTCACACCCAAAACCCAGTCACAGTCACCCCCAAAATCCACAGTCAGTCACCCCCAAAACCCAGTCACAGTCACACCCAAAACCCACAGTCAGTCACACACAAAACCCACAGTCACACACAAAACCCACAGTCACACACAAAACCCACAGTCAGTCACACACAAAACCCACAGTCAGTCACCCCCAAAACCCAGTCACAGTCACACCCAAAACCCACAGTCAGTCACCCCCAAAACCCACAGTCACACACAAAACCCACAGTCACACACAAAACCCACAGTCACACACAAAACCCAGTCACAGTCACCCCCAAAACCCACAGTCACCCCCAAAACCCAGTCACAGTTACACCCAAATACCCACAGTCACACCCAAAACCCACAGTCAGTCACACACAAAACCCAGTCACACCCAAAACCCATAGTCACACCCAAAACCCAGTCACAGTCACACCCAAAACCCACAGCCAGTCACCCCCAAAACCCACAGTCGGTCACACCCAAAACCCAGTCACAGTCACCCACAATACCCACAGTCACACCCAATACTCAGTCACAGTCACAACCCAAAACCCACACTCACAGCCACCCCCCAAAACGGCTCCCCTCCCCCATTGTGGGGGGCTCCCCTCCCCCATTGTGGGGGACCCCCCGCCCCCCGCCGCTACTCCTCGGCGGCGAGCTTGAGCAGGCTGCTGAGCGGCATCTTGAAGACGTGCCAGCCCTCGCTCTGCGTGTGGTCCCTGGCACCGCGGCGGCGGTAGAACTCGATGGACGGAGCGTTCCAGTCGGCCACCAGGAAAGTCATCGACGCACAGCGACTCTCCACCGCGACCTGACGGGCGGGCGGGAAGGGCGGCGGTGGTGAGGACGAGGGCGACGAGTCGCGGAGCGGGGACTGTGTGTGGGTTAGCGTGGTGTGTGTGGGTTAGCGTGGTGTGTGTGGGTTAGCGTGGTCTCTGTGTGTGTGTGTCTGTGTGTGTGTGTGTGTGTGGGTTAGCGTGGTCTCTGTGTATGTGTGTGTCTGTGTGTGTGTGTGTGGGTTAGCGTGGTCTCTGTGTGTGTGTGTGTCTGTGTGTGTGTGTGTGGGTTAGCGTGGTCTCTGTGTGTGTGTGTGTGGGTTAGCGTGGTCTCTGTGTATGTGTGTGTCTGTGTGTGTGTGGGTTAGCGTGGTCTCTGTGTGTGTGTGTCTGTGTGTGTGGGTCTGTGGGTTAGCGTGGTCTCTGTGTGTGGGTGTCTGTGGGTCTCTGTGGGTCTCTGTGTGTGTGTCTGTGTGTCTGTGTGTGTGTCTGTGTGTCTCTGTGTGTGTGGGTTAGCGTGGTCTCTGTGTGTGTGTGTCTGTGTGTGTGTGTGTGGGTTAGCGTGGTCTCTGTGTGTGTGTGGGTCTGTGTGTGTGTGTGTGGGTTAGCGTGGTCTCTGTGTGTGTGTGGGTCTGTGTGTGTGTGTGTTAGCGTGGTCTCTGTGTGTGTGTGTGTGTGGGTTAGCGTGGTCTCTGTAGGTCTCTGTGTGTCTCTGTGTGTCTGGGTCTCTGTGTCTCTGTGGGTCTCTGTGTGTGTGTGTCTCTGTGTGTGCGTGTGTCTCTGTATCTGTGTGTGTGTGTGTCTCTGTGTGTGGGTCTCTGTGTGTGTGGGTCTCTGTGTGAGGGTCTCTGTGGGTGTGGGTCTCTGTGTGTGTGTGGGTCTCTGTGTGTGTGTGGGTCTCTGTGTGTGTGTGGGTTAGCGTGGTCTCTGTGTGTGTGGGTCTCTGTGTGTCTCTGTGTGTGAGGGCGTGTGTCTCTGTGTGTAAGGGCGTGTGTCTCTGTGTGTGGGTCTCTGTGTGTGGGTCTCTGTGTGTGGGTCTCTGTGTGTGGGTCTCTGTGTGTGGGTCTCTGTGTGTGGGTCTCTGTGCGTGGGTTAGCGTGGTCTCTGTGTGTGTGGGTCTCTGTGTGTGTGGGTCTCTGTGTGTGTGGGTCTCTGTGTGTGTGGGTCTCTGTGTGTGTGGGTCTCTGTGTGTGTGGGTCTCTGTGTGTGTGGGTCTCTGTGTGTGTGGGTCTCTGTGTGTGTGTGTGTCTGTGTGTGTGTGGGTTAGCGTGGTCTCTGTGGGTCTCTGTGGGTCTCTGTGTGTGTTAGCGTGGTCTCTGTGTGTGTGTGTCTGTGTGTGTGGGTTAGCGTGGTCTCTGTGTGTGTGGGTTAGCGTGGTCTCTGTGTGTGTGTGTGTGTCTGTGTGTGTGTTAGCGTGGTCTCTGTGTGTGTGTGTGGGTTAGCGTGGTCTCTGTAGGTCTCTGTGTGTCTCTGTGGGTCTCTGTGTGTGGGTCTCTGTGGGTCTCTGTGTGTGTGTCTCTGTGTGTGTGTGTCTCTGTATCTGTGTGTGTGTGTCTCTGTGTGTGGGTCTCTGTGTGTGTGGGTCTCTGTGTGTGGGTCTCTGTGTGTGTGTGGGTCTGTGTGTGTCTGTGTGGGTTAGCGTGGTCTCTGTGTGTGTGGGTCTCTGTGTGTCTGTGTGTGAGGGCGTGTGTCTCTGTGTGTGGGTCTCTGTGCGTGGGTTAGCGTGGTCTCTGTGTGTGTGGGTCTCTGTGTGTGTGGGTCTCTGTGTGTGTGGGTCTCTGTGTGTGTGGGTCTCTGTGTGTGTGGGTCTCTGTGTGTGTGGGTCTCTGTGTGTGTGGGTCTCTGTGTGTGTGGGTCTCTGTGTGTGTGTGTCTGTGTGTGTGTGTGTCTGTGTGTGTGTGGGTTAGCGTGGTCTCTGTGGGTCTCTGTGGGTCTGTGTGTGTGTTAGCGTGGTCTCTGTGGGTCTCTGTGTGTGTGTTAGCATGGTCTCTGTGTGTGTGTGTCTGTGTGTGTGGGTTAGCGTGGTCTCTGTGTGTGTGGGTAAGCGTGGTCTCTGTGTGTGTGTGTCTGTGTGTGTGTGTTAGCGTGGTCTGTGTGTGTGTGTGGGTTAGCGTGGTCTCTGTAGGTCTCTGTGTGTCTCTGTGTGTCTGGGTCTCTGTGTCTCTGTGTGTCTGGGTCTCTGTGTCTCTGTGTGTCTGGGTCTCTGTGTCTCTGTGGGTCTGTGTGTGTGTGTGTCTCTGTGTGTGTGTCTCTGTATCTGTGTGTGTGTGTCTCTGTGTGTGGGTCTCTGTGTGTGTGGGTCTCTGTGTGTGGGTCTCTGTGGGTGTGGGTCTCTGTGGGTGTGGGTCTCTGTGTGTGTGTGGGTCTCTGTGTGTGTGTGGGTCTCTGTGTGTGTGTGTGGGTTAGCGTGGTCTCTGTGTGTGTGTGTCTCTGTGTGTGTGTGGGTTAGCGTGGTCTGTGTGTGTGTGTGTGTGGGTTAGCGTGGTCTCTGTGTGTGTGTGTCTGTGTGTGTGTTAGCGTGGTCTGTGTGTGTGTGTGTGTGGGTTAGCGTGGTCTCTGTAGGTCTCTGTGTGTCTCTGTGTGTCTGGGTCTCTGTGTCTCTGTGGGTCTCTGTGTGTGTGTGTCTCTGTGTGTGTGTGTCTCTGTATCTGTGTGTGTGTGTCTCTGTGTGTGGGTCTCTGTGTGTGTGGGTCTCTGTGTGAGGGTCTCTGTGGGTGTGGGTCTCTGTGTGTGTGTGGGTCTCTGTGTGTGTGTGGGTCTCTGTGTGTGTGTGGGTTAGCGTGGTCTCTGTGTGTGTGGGTCTCTGTGTGTCTCTGTGTGTGAGGGCGTGTGTCTCTGTGTGTGAGGGCGTGTGTCTCTGTGTGTGGGTCTCTGTGTGTGGGTCTCTGTGCGTGGGTTAGCGTGGTCTCTGTGTGTGTGGGTCTCTGTGTGTGTGGGTCTCTGTGTGTGTGGGTCTCTGTGTGTGTGGGTCTCTGTGTGTGTGGGTCTCTGTGTGTGTGGGTCTCTGTGTGTGTGGGTCTCTGTGTGTGTGTGTGTCTGTGTGTGTGTGGGTTAGCGTGGTCTCTGTGGGTCTCTGTGGGTCTCTGTGTGTGTTAGCGTGGTCTCTGTATGTGTGTGTCTGTGTGTGTGGGTTAGCGTGGTCTCTGTGTGTGTGGGTTAGCGTGGTCTCTGTGTGTGTGTGTCTGTGTGTGTGTGTGTTAGCGTGGTCTCTGTGTGTGTGTGTGTGTTAGCGTGGTCTCTGTGTGTGTGTGTGGGTTAGCGTGGTCTCTGTAGGTCTCTGTGTGTCTCTGTGGGTCTCTGTGTGTGTGGGTCTCTGTGGGTCTCTGTGTGTGTGTGTCTCTGTGTGTGTGTGTCTCTGTATCTGTGTGTGTGTGTCTCTGTGTGTGGGTCTCTGTGTGTGTGGGTCTCTGTGTGTGTGGGTCTCTGTGTGTGGGTCTCTGTGTGTGGGTCTCTGTGTGTGGGTCTCTGTGTGTGGGTCTCTGTGTGTGGGTCTCTGTGTGTGTGTGGGTCTCTGTGTGTGTGTGGGTCTGTGTGTGTGTGTGGGTTAGCGTGGTCTCTGTGTGTGTGGGTCTCTGTGTGTCTGTGTGTGAGGGCGTGTGTCTCTGTGTGTGGGTCTCTGTGCGTGGGTTAGCGTGGTCTCTGTGTGTGTGGGTCTCTGTGCGTGGGTTAGCGTGGTCTCTGTGTGTGTGGGTCTCTGTGTGTGTGGGTCTCTGTGTGTGTGGGTCTCTGTGTGTGTGGGTCTCTGTGTGTGTGGGTCTCTGTGTGTGTGGGTCTCTGTGTGTGTGGGTCTCTGTGTGTGTGGGTCTCTGTGTGTGTGGGTCTCTGTGTGTGTGGGTCTCTGTGTGTGTGGGTCTCTGTGTGTGTGGGTCTCTGTGTGTGTGGGTCTCTGTGTGTGTGTGTGTCTGTGTGTGTGTGGGTTAGCGTGGTCTCTGTGGGTCTCTGTGGGTCTGTGTGTGTGTTAGCGTGGTCTCTGTGGGTCTCTGTGTGTGTGTTAGCGTGGTCTCTGTGGGTCTCTGTGTGTGTGTTAGCGTGGTCTCTGTGGGTCTCTGTGTGTGTGTTAGCGTGGTCTCTGTGGGTCTCTGTGTGTGTGTTAGCGTGGTCTCTGTGGGTCTCTGTGTGTGTGTTAGCATGGTCTCTGTGGGTCTCTGTGTGTGTGTTAGCATGGTCTCTGTGGGTCTCTGTGTGTGTGTTAGCATGGTCTCTGTGGGTCTCTGTGTGTGTGTTAGCATGGTCTCTGTGGGTCTCTGTGTGTGTGTTAGCATGGTCTCTGTGGGTCTCTGTGTGTGTGTTAGCATGGTCTCTGTGGGTCTCTGTGTGTGTGTTAGCATGGTCTCTGTGGGTCTCTGTGTGTGTGTTAGCATGGTCTCTGTGGGTCTCTGTGTGTGTGTTAGCATGGTCTCTGTGGGTCTCTGTGTGTGTGTTAGCATGGTCTCTGTGTGTTAGCATGGTCTCTGTGTGTTAGCATGGTCTCTGTGTGTGTGTGGGTCTCTGTGTGTCTCTGTGTGTGAGGGCATGGGTCTCTGTGTGTGTGGGTCTCTGTGTGTGTGGGTCTCTGTGTGTGTGGGTCTCTGTGTGTGTGGGACTCTGTGTGTGTGGGACTCTGTGTGTGTGGGACTCTGTGTGTGTGGGACTCTGTGTGTGTGGGACTCTGTGTGTGTGGGACTCTGTGTGTGTGGGACTCTGTGTGTGTGGGACTCTGTGTGTGTGGGACTCTGTGTGTGTGGGACTCTGTGTGTGTGGGACTCTGTGTGTGTGGGACTCTGTGTGTGTGGGACTCTGTGTGTGTGGGACTCTGTGTGTGTGGGACTCTGTGTGTGTGGGACTCTGTGTGTGTGGGACTCTGTGTGTGTGGGACTCTGTGTGTGTGGGACTCTGTGTGTGTGGGACTCTGTGTGTGTGGGACTCTGTGTGTGTGGGACTCTGTGTGTGTGGGACTCTGTGTGTGTGGGACTCTGTGTGTGTGGGACTCTGTGTGTGTGGGACTCTGTGTGTGTGGGACTCTGTGTGTGTGGGACTCTGTGTGTGTGGGACTCTG